TATTTTGAGGCTAGAAGCTCAAATATATAACAAAAAAAAATGAAAGTTCGGAGGTATTTGTAGCACCATGAACCCTATACGCCCTGGGCGATTTCCTAGTTATATGCCCATGCAGGTCCACTCTCACACCTAAGAGAACCAGTCGGATTTTCGGTTGGATAGCTCCAGCTCTGAGGGCCGGTGACACCCATGCTCTTCCTTTGGGAGGGTTTCATGCCCATTTCGCAATCGGCTCTTACTATTACATTACAGCTCTAGGGCCCTTACAGAACGAGCCATAGACCCAAGTATGGCCTTAACTGTGATCAAGAAACCACCGCCAATCAGCCCGTCCAGTGCATCCATAGGAAGTATCACGGACCATATCCGGCCACCGGTACAGCCAGTATTCAAGTACCTCCTGCTCCCCGATCATCGGATCAGCCCACCTGATCGTGTGGCTCAACCAATCAATGTAGCCAAGTGCTTGACTGTAGTGTTATTGCTAGTATCGATGACAAGTGTTCTCTGTGTCATCACCTGGTCAGAACAAAAGACATAAGCTGTGAAGTGCTCTTGGAAAAACGACCCATGCAGCTGCGCCATGCGCTCGTTACGCTTCTTGCGCAATCTGTACATAGTCGAAGAGAGGTGTCAATCGATGTGAGCATGTGAAACTAACTGTTTGCCGGACGTGCGCACTTGAATGATTCAGATGGGGAACTTCTCGGAGAAGTGAAATGAATAGCTCTCAGTTACTAACTAGACAATTACCATTGTTGAAGACTTCAGCGAATTTTCCGCTGTCATTGTGTGCTTCGCGAGAAAAGGAGTGTCTCATGTGATGTCTGTGAGTCACTGAGTATAGCTGAGAAACTTCACTGGGGGCTTGTTCATGCAACTTTAGTAAGCCAGTCATTTTAGCGGGAAGATTGGAGGGTAGATGGAACTTTGTCCAGGTTTCTCGGCTTATTGTATGATTGGGAGCAACTGCAACCCCCAATCGCCTGATTTCTCGTAATGGTGGTGCCTGTTAGAGAATCCAAGTCATTCCAAGATGTCAAGTTACTTCTTCATTGCACTGTAGTACTGATAGGTCGATCAAACCTTACCCAGTCAAAAGTTGCCCTTTCGTTCACGTTTTCCGATTGAGTCCGCTGAGCTGGTGATCAGCCCCGAGAAGTTTTCCTGTGCAGTGGAAGGGAGATCCCAAAAACCGGTGGCTCGACTGGGACCCTGGCACCTAGCTGATTCGCGAAATGTGGAAGGAATATTTTCTCCATGATTATCAAAAGCTTTGTGCGCAGATATTCCCTATCTGGGTGATCTCATACGTTTTCGGTGGTTCGTTTGGGCGGTAGCTTCAAAAGTATAGTAAGGTGATAGACCACAAATTGGATGTGCTAGCGACAAGGCCGGATGAAAAGGTACCGACATCTAACACCTTCGATCTTAAGACATTGTTACCGCATTCGGCCTAGAACAACCTGTTTAGCGTCAACGCCTTCATAGGCGGTCCAAAATAATCAGGTCCAACAATCAAAATAGATTTAAGCTTTTGGTGTCCGGCTGTTGTTCGGGTGCTTTGACGGTGGCAACAGCGGTGAAAGTTAAAATGTGAAGAGAAACTACCCCTGAACGAAATCCCAAGAGTCGCTGCAGTCCGCAGTTGGCGGCTGACATCAAACGCAAAGTTTTCTATTAGGGCACGACAAAGCCGTCGATGGCAGCGCTTTCGTTTTATTTACGACTGGCTCCATCGAGTGTTTTATTAGTGGACTGGGAGGCGTAAGAATTATGAGTGTTTGTCTTACCCTGATTTCTTACCCCCCGAAGAGACTCCGCGAGAATGCTGGTCGGGAAGCTCTGAGACAAATGAATTTCGCCTTTTCCATACAGCTGCATAAGAGGAACTTGGCTTTAGTAGGGAGTAGGGGCTTAACTTCAAAAATGAAATTTTATCGGTTTACTCGGGAGTTTTTTTCAGCAGCTTACTTCTTCACTTCTGTGAGAACACTCAAGCAAAATATGAATGAGCCTGCAGTTCAACTGTGTTTCCACTTTGCCTTGCTTTTAGCTCTATCAAGCTGTGGGCTAAAATACCTGAGAATAATCCTAGTTCTCTTCTGGAAATGTAACCACTTTAAAGTGCTGGAGGCAAATTGGGAGGTGGGAGTTTTTGGCAGTCCCGAGTTGTTGAGAAACCATAAGACATTATGCTTCCTACAGTTCATGGTTGCTTGGTGTTCGAACAATGAAAGGTTCATTCTAAAAATAAATGGGTAACTACAAGAGCTTTCAAAGGACAATGGCCTTCAACTGTCCCAACCATCCCAGTCACACCTGTGCGAGGGATTGGACCCTTTCAGATCCACTGACGGGTACTATGGAGATCTAATTGGGTAAAGGATCACTTTGCCCAAAAAATGCATCTCTTTCCCATCTCGGTGCGTGAGCTGACTTCTTGGAGGATTCTTTAGAGGAAGACGTCTGAGCAGCTGCCATGATTTACAATTATGCCTGAAAAAATGTACAGGCACTGAGTTCACCCTGTTATAAACCACTGGTCAAAAAATAACGGAGGAAGAGAGTCATCCCTTCTTGAATTCTTCTAAAATGAGCTTTCACAGCAGAGCAGTGAAAGGCTTGCAACAGATCACGAAAAGATAGCAGCTGCTGCCCATCAAGCAGCGCTAAATAGTCAGTCTAGTAGATTCGTGCCGGTAGCACCACCTTAGTTTGAGACCTCGACACCATCAGCAGCTTCCATATCTCGTAGAATTTCGTCTGTGAATGTGATAGAACTGGATTCTCGGAAGGACAACGTTGTTTGTGGGCTTGAACTTATAGAATTTCTGCTGGGGGTGAGCCTCGGTCATTAAAGCAAACAGGAGTAGGAGGGGTACAGATCCCATCAAGCTTTGGATTTTTCTACAATAGACAGCCAACGTTTCAATTTGAAGATAAGCCTCAAAAATTGTGTCAAATAATCATTCAAGCGCCCCAGCACTGTTGGACTGTTACGGATCTCACACTATAACTTCAGTTTTGGACTTCTTCTCCGGGCTTGTACTTGCTCGGACAGAGTATATGTTACAAGCAGAAAGCCAGTCCTGGTTTCGTATGGTGCCTTGGAAGGGATAATATAGTAAATGCTTGTACAGACTGGAGGATCCTGTTTAGATCCTATCGATGGAACGAGAACTCGAGGTACTTACTCGACGTTTTAGTTGTCAACAGCAGATCCCCAGAGATCTCCTTAATGACTTTTTCGGACATGATCTTAGGAGGGTTTTTGAGATTCTACTGTTTGCGGGTACGACCTGTAATCCCAGACGTACACCTGCTCAGGTATTGTATGGGTTGTAGGTTGTTCTAGGATTCTACTCCATGCTGTTAGTGGGATGCAGGAGATTTACTCGGGCGAGCTCAAGGTCCTAATCGAAAGTAGTGTGAATGCAAATGACATAACTGGAGCTTGTGCAAGAGCCAGCTCTGGCTTCACCCACGTCCAGTGATCTTAAATGGATGGTCCAACCATGATGTTGCACACGTTTTCGCTCCTTGGGTAATGTCATTTTTAAGAGTTACAGGCAGCATTTAGGGCCAGTTAATGGCACAGCGAATCCGCCACATTTTACATCAACAAGTCGTTAGAAAACCAATTAATCCCCCATCGCTACATACGGACTTTACAGCCTCCGTTATTAGCTATACAACTCGCTAGCAAAGCGGATTTCATTTCGCCGTCGTCGTCCACGTCGTTGGTGTCATTGACGATCGGCGAAGTGCAGCCAACAATTAGATGCACTAGCTGTGTGTGTGAGAGCAAAGCGGGCCTCCCGATGGCTACGGTAGCCGACTGCTGTCTACTGCTGCTACTGCTGCTGCTGCTGCAATGGTGTATGTGAAGCAGCAGTGACGCCACTAATTATCTCCTACCGTAGTCGTGCACAACGATGGGCATTAAAAGAGTTTGTTTTGTTGGTTTATGCACGTTGGCCGACGATATCGCAGGGTACGTTGATTTCCCGACGGAGTCAAGTGGGCAAGAATTACGACTTTAATGTCACTTGATATGCTGTGTTTATGGGCAGCTCCATTGCCAAGCCACCAAGCTATTCATTTTCCTGTCTGCTGGTCATAACCAAGCCGGCGAGTCAGTGATGAAACCCAAGGCCAACATGAGATCAGATAAAGGTTCATAGTTTTAATTATGGGATAAACCGAACTGTACAGAGTGCTGAAGCAGCTAAAAGAGAGCTCTCTCAATGAAAGCAGTGCCTGGACCTGTCTGCCCGAAAAGTTAGAACAAATAGACCTGCACAAATGACTCGAACTCACATCAGTAGCCCTAAATGTTTCTCTGTAAAAGGTCTTAGAATTTACTACGATAGATGAGTACTCGAACCGTTTCTGAACAAAGTTCTCAGTCCTATTTAGGCTATTCCTAGACTCGAATCCCTCAGATCTCCTAGGTTAATCGCTCTGCGTTTCCTCCTTCATCGGAGCTCCCTAAAGATCATGCAACTCGAGCTGGAAGCTCTTTTTAGAATTTTCGGGGTGAAAATCTTATGGGTCCCACTTCGGCCCCTTTCGACTGGAACTTGTCAAAAACTACCTAGGATGAAAAAATGCTGGATTTTTCTCGTTTTGGGAGCCGATAGATACTTCACAAGAGAATTAGTTGGACTTTACTAGCTGTTTATGAGCTTGTTCGAGGGATCTTGAACGCCCCAACTTAATTGTCGGTCATGTCGTCTTGTCCATCTATTTCCCAGATCCCTTCAACTCTCCATGACGAACGCCGTCACAGATTTCTGACTAGATTATTCAGATGACTCTATAGAGGGTCCGTGTGATGATCATCATTATCGGGTGGTAAGATATGTGGCAAGCGGGTCCGACGAGACCCCGTCTGTCATTGCCTATTGCAAACTAGATAAATGGCTGTCGGCTGGGATCAAAGCCGGCCCGGCCACCTTAGCACCCGTCGCATTTATTGCTTCGCTTTGGCGTCTCACACATTAACGCCACCACCATTACCCATAGAGAATCACAACAAAACATGCTACTAACAAGGGGACCATTAAAATTACGCGGGGAGTTCGGAGAGTTTTGAGGCAAAATTTGATCTGAACAAGGTAGTCCTAAATAGCATCCTTCCACAGGAGAATCCTGAATGGAAGCCTGAATGGTCACAGGGCTCATCGTGGTAGGGCCCCGACCCACTCATATCAGAATTCGACATGAGTTTGTGAAATCCAACAAAGAATGTTCTTTATCCCGCTCAATGGCATCCAAATTCCTTTCAAATCTACTTCATTTCTTAATCCCTCTCTCCNNNNAGCGGTATGTGGGCCCCGTCAAGGCCTGCTGCTCCTATGAATCAGGTTCGCCTCCTTTCAAACTCTTCAATCACTCATGTGTGTCTCGCGCGCGCTCGTCAAAGTCACTACTAGTGAAAAAATCCCCGGTACCGTAGTGCTCGAAGTGGTTATCGCGTGAAGTTAGGCGTTTTTCGAGCTCCGTTGGTTTATTGCCAGTTCGATGATTGCCTATTCAAACATGCGCATGATTCGAATCTACAAGCCGGGAGGTTGGGGGTGGGATGGGGTTCGGCACTTCTAGGCGGTGTTCATGAAAGCCTGCTTGATACACTGACGAGACGAGGCGGCCGAGATGTCTTGAAAAGACGCGGAGATCATTTGTTATTTAGACGATCGTAAAAATTTGCATAATAGGTTACGAGACGAGGCCGCCTGTAAATCTCTATTGAAGGGTGACGACGGGCCGAGGGTAAACAGACCTGAGGACAGTCAAGGTAACTGCAATCTCCGCCATTGAAGGGTTGAATTAGAATGGCTGGTGAGCAGATAAGGACGAAGAGGGGACCTGAAAAGACTACGACCAGAAATTTTATCAACTTTAGCCTGGCAACGGTGTCCGTATTAAGTATTCGAAACAATTTCAATGGATATATCAAAAAAACCAAAGTTTTCCCCTGATATACGTCAACAATCAATCGAATTGTTAACTCGTTTCCGTTTAATGACCTAAAAAAGTTCTTCAAATTGCAACTTCGGAGCCAACTCTGAAAAGCAAAAGATGAACACAGCAGATTCGTTTAAGATTTTGTCTTTTGGACCTTTCGGATGAACTATAAATCTGAGTGGTCCAAGGTGGAAATGCTTCACTCTGTTCAAGTTATACCATATTTGTTACCTTCGGCTCTCGAAATGTCAAAAAAGTGTGGTCTATCATTCTGAGAAACCGGTGTAAAAACATTCTCCTTACACCCATCATAATTTGAGAATGAAAGTCTGTGGTAAGCAAACTGTGAAATTGTGGTATGGGTGCTGAAGGTGACAAAATGAGCACTTTAAAATGGCGGAGGATTGGAACCATATTGCGCAGGTCTCAGAAGCTAATAATTCGTGCGATTACTGAAATAATCTGGGCAAGTATCCACCGTTTGGATGGATGAAAGAGTTTTTTCAAGATTCTGCGACTTACACATGAAACACGAAAAGGTCTCCAGGGCCGTAAAATCCTTCAAAAATCAGGACTATCCTGTCAGAGGCCTAGGTATAGTCGGTGGATCGCCTCCAAGACTCTTCTAAGAACCGACTTCTAATTTTGTGGATGAATTCAAAGCTTATGTCAGATGTTCCAGAGCTTCAAGTCGACGATACGGGTTGCCCGATTTGTCCACTTTGTGGTGAGAAGTTAGTCGAATCCGAATGGTCACATCATGTTGAACATGAGAAGAAGAAGCTGCTTGGGGTAATCCAAAGGTGAGCAACTCTTCTACTTCATGTTACACTCTACGATAAAAGAGCAGAAACTGATGAAGCGGATTTTAAAAACAGTCATAGATGGCTTGAAAGTTGAAGCTCACCGGGGCTGTTCTTTAGTGGGATTTCGGTATATGATACAAGTCCACAAAATTAATCGAGTCAGAAGTGGAAATACGGGATTTTTTGTGGAAGAGGATCGCGATATTTAAACGTTTAGCTTGTTGGGAGACTTCAGTTCAACACCAGTTCTACCAAATTTCATTTTACTCTGATTCCTAACGTCCAAAAGATGCATTTTACTACTACTAATTATGTACCGGAGTAATATTATTTTTTCTTGAATGGATACATAAATATCTGATTTTCCCAGTAATATCAAGCTTAGGTGATTTTATTCAGCGACTATTAAGACCCATGTTTCAGCGTGAAAGAGTCAAAACTTATGGAACCATCAAGCAATGCCGAACAATCCCGACGAAAACGTGAGTTGGAGCTGTTACGGATAAGGAATAATCAACAAAAGCGACTAGCTTGTGAGTGAACAGAAATATGCATTCTGTTTATTATCTGTAGGCAATTATCGAACTTGTAAATAAAAATAGAATTGGAGAACTCGGGCAATCGGACCTCAATTCTATTTTGAATTAGGCCTTGGTGAACTGAAGCATAGAATCAATCGACTACAACCAATCAATGGCTCTCTCGAATTAGTTTTCAAAAGGCTCCGAAACCTGGGCTATTGCGGAGCTTCATTTTTGCCTGAACAGAAGATCGATCGCAATTTCAAGACCCTTATGAGACTCTAAGGTTCACGGTAGGAAAAAGATCAAGTCCGAGAGTACTTCATTTTGAGAAGTGTGAAGTGGAATCGGGCCCTGATGGGCTTTAAAAGTTCGAAAAGTTATTTGATTCGATTGATGATTTTTTTATATGATCGATATTGATTTAGTGAAACGAGGTGCGTCATCACTGATTCGCGATACACTGACGCCTTTCAGCCGGCAGGTAAGATTATTTTCGTTCTGGCCACCCCTTTGTGATTGGTTAGATCCTTTTAAATTATAACTATCCCGCCATTGCTTGGAACTGTAATGGTGTAGGAGAAGAGCGTCCTACGTTTCGGTCTTTTCTGCCTTTTCCTACCTTGCCAGTATTTGGAGCATCTCCTACAGCTTTACATTTAAAGTGAGCTTGACCTTCTTCCGGTACCAGCAGCAATGACATTACCGTAGTCATCATCAGGGACGCGTGTGGACGCCCGGACATCTGCCAGGTGTATTGGCAGTAAATGTGGCAAATGCTTAGCAAACATCATCATAAATGCCGTCGTCGATCGGGTCGACCTCAATTATGCGAATTGTGCCATCTCGATATAGTCGTAAAGGAGCAGAACGTTCACGTAGATGTTTGTCTTGGGGAGGGTTACGTAATGGGTACAGCATTAATTTGCATTTGTGAGGGATCCCATAATGAATTCTCTTTCAAATTGCCGAATACCATCTTAAAATCCAATCAATACAGCGATGATAGCAAGTGTCATAGTCATCATGGGACCTTATCAGGTCCAGTTGCATAGTGGACGACTACTTAGTTGCCTTGAAACTTTCAGTCAGTAGTTGTTTTCTTGATCAAAACGGACTACCTACAAAACGTTTCTGAGGGGAGTCGCCCACTTCGAAGATTTCTGAGGAGGATAGTCCAGAAATTACTGAGGCGGCACTTTACGAAAATGGAACTTCAGCTTGGTGAAGTCAAAGCGTGGACTGATCAGCGACATTGGAGTTCTGATCGGAAGTCAAGAAGACCTACTGAAATTGAAAGGCTTCGAAAAAGAGAAAGAGAAAAAAGAAAAAGGCTGTTTTCAGACTTCACATAAAAATTTAACCACAAATTGAGCAGCGCCTAGTTTGTTGTCCTGTCATCTGGTGCTCCCGAAAGGGGAAACTACCGGGAAATACGCACGCTTGTGCACCACCAGGGTAGACCGACCTTTCACAATTTTTGATATCGAAAGGTATAACTTACTGGAATGCCTGAGTTGCGATAAGTTCGTTCTCGGTAAGCTATTCACTTGACTTAACTCCAGGATTCAAGGCCCATAAAAGGCGTTTGCTTAGAGAAACGAAATCTATCTTTTTATTTTGTCTTCCAGGCAGGAGTTTTAGCAAGTTATGAAGCGACAAGGGATTAGGGACTTATGTGAAATAACTTGGAAACGATCCTGATTCT